CAGGCCTGGGTTTCTTAGTTGACACTTTTTTTTTTTTATTACTGCTTCTGTTTCATTGCCTATTGCTGAGTAATTCAGGGTTTTTGTACCTTATTGGTTCAGTTTTGGTAATTCATATGTATCTAGAAATATATCCATTTTTTCTAGATTTTCTAGCTTATTGTAGTATAGATTTTTAAAGTAGTTACTAATAATCTTATGGAATGGGAGTGTCTTTAGTGATTTTGACTTTTTCATTTCTAATTGCACTAGTATGGGTCTTTTCCTTCTTTCTTTTGATAAGGTTGAATAGAGATTTGTCTTATTTTGTTTAGTCTTTTGATGAACCAGCTCTTTGATTGATTCTTTTTTTAAATTCTCAATTTCATTAATTTCTGCTCTGATCTTCATATTTTCCTTCTTTGTACTAGTTTTGCATTTAGATTGTTGTTGTTTTTCTAGGACCTCGAAGTGAATCATTAGGCTATTTGAACTCATATTATTTTTCTGATGTGGGCATTCACAGCTATAAACTTCCCTCTTAGGACTTCTTTCACTGTGTCCCATAAGTATGTTATGCTTGGAGTATCATTTGATCTAGGAACTAGTCATTTCTTTTGTAACCCATTTGTTGTTCAAGAGTATATTGTTTAATCTCCATGCATTTGCATAATTTCCTTGGTTTCTTTTGCCATTGATTTATAGTTTTGTGGCACTATGATCTGATAATATTTACAGGATAATTTTGATTATTTTTAATTTATTTACACTTGCTGTGTGGGCCAATATATAGTCTATTTTGGAGAAAGTCACCTATGCTGCTGAGAAGAATGTATATTCTGCTTTTGTTGAGTGAAACACTGTAGGTATCTATTAAGCTGGAAAGTTTGGTTCAACTCTGATACTTATTTGCTTTTTTGGGGTTTGTTTAATTGATCTGTCTATTTGTGACTGTGTGTATTGAGGTCTGCAGCTATGGTTGTATTTTTTTTATGTGTATCTGCTCATTTATGTCCAGTAGTGTTGTTTGAAGATGGGGTGCTGATATTTGGGGCACATATGTTTATAACTATTTTCACTTCCCATTAAATTGTTTCCTTAACCAATATGCAATGAATAACCTTCTTTACCTCTTCTGATTAGTTTTGCCTTAAAGTCCACTTTGTCTGTAAATAGGATTACTCCTAATTTTTTTCAGGCTATCATTGCATGACATACTATTTTCCGTCCTTTGCTTTTTAATATATGTTTTTCTTTTTTAATTAAATGTTTTTCTTCTATGTAGCATAGTGTTAGTTTTTGTTTTTTAATTGAATCTGTCATTGTGTCTTTTCATTAGGAAATTGAGACCATTCACATTGAAAGGTATTACTTACTCCTGTACTTGCATTATTTTCCTGTTGGTCCTTTTTTCTCCCCTTCTGCTTAACTGCTTACCCTACCTGATATATTCATTCTACTAGACTTTTGGGCATTATTGGCTTTATTTTGTCTTTCTGGGATATCTTTGAGAAATTTTTATAGAGCTGATTTGCTGATCATAAATTTCTTGAGGTTCTCTTTGTCATGGAAATACCTTATCTTTCCATCAATTTTGATACTGTTTTACAGGATACAGTGATCTAGGTTAGAAGCTTTACTTTTAGGGCTTGAGACCCTTCATTCCAGCAAGATCTCCTGGATTTTAAGGTTTGTTTTGAGAAGTCTGCTGTAATTCTAATGGTTTTATGTTTGTAAGTGATTCATTGCTTTTCTGTAACAGAAAGATTCTGTTGTTGTGTTGGACTTCGGGGAGTCTGACTATGATGTAGAGATATTCTTTTCTGATCATGGCTATTTGGTGTCCTATATGTGTCATCTACCCGGATGTTGTATTTTTTCTCACTACTTGCAAAGTCTTGTGCTAGGATTTCTATAAACATGCTCAGTATCTGTAACTTTGCCTGAGGGTGAAACTGAAAATCTAACTTGAAAAAAACCTGTATGGACCAAGAGTGAGTCACACATAGTGTTGTTGCATAGCGGACCCAAAGTGGTGACATTTCAGTCCTAGTGCTGGTTCCATCTGGACAGCATGTAGTACTTGTGTTAGTGCGTTAAAGCATTCATCGTTGTGTTTGTGTGTGTGGTTTTTTTTCCCCCTTTCTCAAATGACTACTGGTTAATCACACTCAGATATGGTGGGTGCAGCAATGGATTTCTTCTCCGCTCTATTCTGCCATGTGGAAGAAATCACTTTCAGAGTTAAACCCCATGCTTTTTTTTCTATTTACAATGAGTGTGCTTTTCGTTGAGGCCAGTGCTGCTGCCCTGGTCTGTTGTTTCTCTCCGGGGCTGCTGACCCTCTCTAGACTTACCTTGTGTTTGCAGAGGCAAGTCACCCGCCCCAGGAGCCAGGTTAGTATTCCAGTCCGCTTGCTTCCTTTCCTTGCATTTTCTTCAGATTCTCTAGTTTCTCTATAATTTCTAGTTTTCCTGTCAGATCTTTCGTAATTCCCAGACCTTTTCTTCTTTTTATCTTCATTGTTTTCCAGGAGGTATGAGTTCAAATCCTAGAAAGATTGTGATATGCTGCTGTATTCTGTGCTGCTATCTTCCTTCTCCTTTGCATTTTAAAACTTTAGCCATTCCATGGACACAAAAAATAGCATCTTAATTAGGATTTTGATTTGTATTTCATTAATGAGTAATATGGTTGAAAATTTTTCATATGCATGTTAGCCATCTCCATATTTTGTTTGGTGGTATGTCTGCTCAGATTTTTTTTTCATTTAAAAGCCAAGTTACCATTTACTGTTGAATTTTTGGACATTATTTTTTTCTATATTGTTAAAAAGTCCTCTGTGAGTCCTGTGATTTGCAAATATTTTCTTCCAGCCCATGGGTTGTTTTCATGATCTTAACAGTATTTTTTGCATATTGAAAGTTTTAAGTTTGGATAAAGTGTAGTTTATAAATTTTTTCTGGATTTTTGTCTGTGGTTTTTATATTTCTTTGTTTACCTAAGGTCACAAAGATTTTTCTGTTACAATCTAGAAATTTTATAATTTTACATTTTATATTTAGCCCTACAATATATTTTGAATTAATTTTTGAATCAAGTATGACAGGTTGAGATGCTGTTTTTTCTTTTTGAATATGGACATCCAATTCTTACAGCATTGTTTGCTGACAAGACTATCCTTTCTTGATAGAATTTCTTCAGTGACTTAAAAAAAATCAGTTGACTGTACTTGCATGGATCTATTTCTGTATTTTTCACTGTGTTCCTTTGATCTTTATATCTGTGCTTTTATCCATCCTATACTGTACTGATTGATATGACTTACAATAAGTCTTTTTTTTTAAACTATTTGAGAAAAATTTAGTAATATTCATCCATTGTTCATGGTCCATGGTCACACAGTTTGTGGTTAGTAGACAGAGATTGGAAATCAGAATATTGTACTTTATTCTAATACTATGCTATCTTCTCTTTTCAAGAAGCCTTGAAACAAGGTAGTGTAAGGTTTTCAACTTTTTTCTTATATTGTTTTTGCCTTATTCCTTTGCCTTCCTATATTTTAATTAATTAATTAATTAATTAATTTTTTTCCAGTACCCGGGATGAAACTCATGCTTGTGAGGCAGGTGTGGTGTCACTGAGCTAAATCCCCACCCTGCCTTCCTATATTTTAAAATCACATTGTCCACATCTTTGGAAAAAAGTCTGCTAAAGTTTTATTTGGGATTGCCTTGAACCTATAGACTAATCTGGGGAGAAATGACATCTTAATAATATTGAGTTTTCTAGTCTGTTACTGTAGTGCATCTCTTCATTTTTATAGGGTTTCTGTATTATTAAGCTCTTGCTGAGTAACAGATTACCCTAAATCTTAGTGCCAGGAAGGAACAAACATTTATTATGTTAAAATATCCAGGAATCTGGAAACAACTAAACTGGGCTTTTCTGGTTTGAGGTTTCTCATGAGGCTGCAATGAAAGTGTTGGCTGCAGTCGTCTCAGGGATTGTTTGGGCGAAGATCAACTTCCAAGCTCCTTTAACATGGCTATTGGTAGCCTCATGAGATGTGCTTCGAAGTTCACTCTTGAGCTATTCCATAGGGCTGCCTCCCAACATGGCAGCTAGCTTTCCTTAGAATGAGTGATTCAGGAGAGACTGAGAGAAAGACTGTGTACCATGGAAGCCAGACACATTTTATGATGTCATCTTGGAATTGATGTCCCATCGTGTCTGTAATAAAAGCAAGTAACTAAGTTCAGTTCACACTCAAGGGGAGAGGCTTACACAGTGACTGGCATATAGGAAGTGGAGATCATTGAGAGCTACCTTAGAGGCTACTTACCACATCTTCTTTGGTCTCTTTTGTACATTTCTTCATTTTCAGCATAGAAATTCTATGTTTTGTTAGGCTTATACCTACATTGTAACTTTTCCGAAGTTATTATGAATGGTACTTTCAAATTTTTCAATTTTAATTGTTGCTAATATGTAGAAATACGGTTGGTTTGTATGTATTGATTTTGTGTCCTGAAGTCTTGTTGAATTGTTTTATTAATTCTGTGTACACACTACTATGAACTTTGCATTTTTGTTTATAATCTATTTTGAAGATTAAATCATAATGGGTCACAAAGTTGTATATCATAGAGTTAATCGTTGCCTGGAGTTCAAAGTTTGTCAGCCAGGAATTTATCTCAGTGGTTCTACCACCTGCTTCGCAGGCACAAGGTCCAGAGTTTGATCCCTGGTACCAAAAACAAAAACAACAAACAAAAAACAACATCAAGCTTTATCAGTCCTAAATTTCTCTGTTTATTAACTTTAACACTGATTATATATATATATATTGAATTAATATAAAGGATTTACAAATAGTGGCTAACTGATAATTGCTTTTCATTTTTAGGCTTTAAAAAAATGGATTGAAGAAAGTTCTGCACTTAAATTTCTAAAACCTGGCATATTAACTGGACGTGGCAAAACAAGTAATAAAACAGGTACTTATATACATAGTCAATTAGATTTAGTGTAATATATGTAAATATGTAGTATATTCAGATTTTTTAAATGCTTCTGTCAGTCATATTTTAACCCAGAGATGCAAAATCAGTAAAATATTATACCTAAATATGGTGGTATGTGTATTAATATATGTCTTTACATTCATGAGTACAAGGAATTGGTTTATACAATTCAGCTGACAAAGCAGTCTGAGCTCTGCAGGGCAAGAAGTCAGGAAAGAAAGATCAGTAAGAGAATGGAAAGCACAAGTGTGAGCTGTTTGAAATCTCTGAGCTTAAGAAAAGCCTAAGCCTTCTTTTAAAAGCTTACCTGAATAGGTTAGGCCTGTCTTTTTTATTTAATTTAAACTTTTTTGATTTAACTGATTAGGGGTTTTAATCACAAATCAAAATCCCTTTAAGCAGTATTTAGAGGAATAACTGGAAACTGTAGCTCAGCCTAGTGCAGTTGATGCATCAGAAGGCCATCACATGTCAAGTATGGTGGAACATGCCTGTAATTTCAGCTACTGAGGAGGCTGAGGCAGGGGGATCACAATTTCAAGGCCAGCCTGGGAAATTTAGTGAGACCCTATTTCAAAAACAATTTTTTTTTGTTTCAAAATTTTGTTTTAAAAAGAGGCCATTGGGCCAGGGATTTAGCTCTAGCGGTTCGGTGGCCTGTCTTGCAAGCGCAAGGACCCGAGTTCAATCCCCGGCACCAAAAAAAAAATATATCTATATAAAAAGAGGCCATCGCATTGCTCAAACACTGTAGATCACACTAGTCTCTTTCCTTGTAGTAAACTACCTCTTCTCATATGTTTTGCAGGCAAGTCAAAGTTTTTTTCAATACTATTTGAGTGCTCCTCCCTTCTCAGATTCTCAAGTAACAAATGTAAGATTAACTGAAATTAGGAATATTCTGTTTCCATTGTATTGTTATTCTTTATTAAATTATAGATGTACAGCTCTTCTGTATATTATAGACTTTACAGTTAAAGTCTAAACAAACAATTCTGAAATCTGGCTAGGGTGGTTGAATTACGCTTAGGGGTTTGGGAGGCTCCCACGTCAGCCCCAATCCTGCCTTCCACGCGGCTGAGTTCCCCACACCTTAGAAATTATTTCATGAAGCATTTATGACCTGCCATGACAGGTCCTCACCGTGCTGCTCTTACTTAGTTTTATTTATACTTATCAACCCCTGCTGCTTTCCTGCCTTCCAGCCCTAGTCATCAGTCACACTTGCACTTCCCCCATATAGTCTCTGAACTTCATGAGTATAAACTGTAGATTCAGGTTTTTGAAAATGTGGCTTAGTGAGTGAAGTCCAGTACCATCTTAGTGTGGCTGGAATTCCCAGTTCTCTGAACTCTGACTCCACTGTTGAGTACAACCAGATTTTCAAGCTTTGTTATTCACCCACAGATGGGCACTCACAAAACGTTGTCTTCTTCACCCTTCCATCCAGCTTGTGCGTGGAACTTAATCTGGGCCAGGCATTGTGCCTCCCCATCTTCTGTAAACTGACAGAAATGCCTTTCCTCTGCATTCCTATAGCATCCATTTCCATCCCACTGAGCCACAGCTTCCTGCTCATGTCCTCCTTTCACAGAAGATGAGCTGGGATAGTGGGGTCTTTAACCATCATTTTCTTAGCTGACAAACTATAATCTATAATTGCTGAATAAGCATTTGACAATGAATAGATGCATCAAGATGATTTTGACTAAATTTATTTTCTGGGCTGTTCCTCTTCCTTTCACATTATGCTAATCTTACGTTTGTTAAACAAAAAAATTGTGAGCTTTTATAAAAAGCTACAAATGAATAAGCAAACATTTAGTTTGCTAAATCTGAATGCCCCCAAATTTCTATTTCTGTTGCCATCTTTTAGCTTCCTATTTGTGAAGAAACAGGTTATCTAATCTCTGTGCCTCATTTGCTTCATCTAGCAAATAGAAAAATAGTAATTGTATCTAGCTCATAGAGTTAATGTGAATACAACTTACCACAAGCTTTTGAATGACTCACTAAGAATAATTTTTCCATTTTTAAGTGGTTGAAAAAAGCAAAGTGTATTTCATGATATATGAATAGTATATGAAATTCTAATTTAAATATCTATAAAAAGTTTTGTTGGAAAACAGTTATGCTTATTCATTTATATATCATCTGTTAGCTTTCATGCTATAATGGGAGAGTTGCGTAGTTATGACAGTGTAATTCACAAAGCCTAAAATATCTACTACAAGCCTTCACAGAAAACATTTGCTAGCTTCTGGTTTAGAATAGTGCTTGGCACATGACGAATGCTCAACCTGCTAAATATTAGCTATTGGTCACATAAAGACCTTTTGCATGGTGTTTATGATTTGGTTCATTTGTTTGGTTTTGGTTTTAATGAGAATGCATGGGTTCAAAAGAAATGGAAGGTATGTATGCATTTTTAACAAAAAGAAATCTGGATCTGTATCTTCAACAAAGAGTTTTAAAGAAAATGCAAAATTAAAATTACTAATATACAGGAGTTGATTTTTTTTCCTCATTGAGTTTATTGGTACACTTTAGGTATACAGTACAGTTACATTCATCATTGGGATCTTGTACCTTTACATGACAGGTCTTGCTTCTCATTTTTTCCCCTTGTCCCTGAAGGAATTGATTTTTAAGAAACCTTCTAGGGGTCTTGCTGGTCCTGGGCACGGCCCCCCAGCTCCCGTCCCCACACCATGGCACTTGCTGTCTCTGAGGCCGAGGACTCTGCCGTGCCCCCTCCTGCCCCACATTGAGTATGTGTTTTAGGGACATCACTGGGTGCTGTGAGGCCCCAGGCAGCGGGGTCTAGAGCAGCTGCGCCTCTGGGCAGCCACAGATTGGGAGATGCTTCCAAGGTATTCACAAGAGACAGTGGGGGTAAAATAGGCTGAAAAGAACCCCCTAGAAATCACAGATACACAGACAGCTGCTGCTGAGGTGGACAGGCACAAACCCCACCTGTTTCCTGGGCTGCTCTGCCACAAGCAAAAGAGCCTTAAGCCATTGACAGAGGGTCAACAAATAGTCTCCCAGAACGCAGATGCTGTTTTGGCGGGGAGAAGCAGAAGCCAAATAAATCCCTTTGCCTCTGAGAGAGGGATAGTAAACCCACTCAATCCCATGACAAAGGTAAACATTCTTTATTTCTTGGAGGTTGGGGGTAGAATGAAATACCTTCATTTGGAGGACAGTAGAAATAATTTGATACTATTACTGGGGAAGGAGCAGAAAATCCTGCTGAAGACTGATCACTAATACATGAGGAAGAGAGCTGGGAGTACTAAAGGAGGCTCAGTACCTAGGTACTCTGTGAAACACTGAGGCTGGGATAGGACAACAAAGATTGTGGACAGTGGCAAACAGAATTACATGTTCTAAAATTTCTAGGAGATGACATTGCTAAGAGCTCACCCAGCTTGCTAGGCCAAGTTCTTTGTGACTTCCTTTGGCTGCATGCTGCATGGGAAGGACCTGGGAGAACCTGAAGCCACACAGTGGAGGCAGTGACCTTTGAGGATGTGGCTGTGAACTTCACCACAGAGGAGTGGGTTTTGCTGAATCCATCCCAAAAGAAGCTCTTCAGAGATGTGATGAGGGAAACTTTCAGGAACATGGCTGCTATAGGAAGAGCCTGGGATAACCAGGAAATTGAAGAAGAGTACAAAAGTCACTGGAGAAATCTAAGAAATGAAGAGGTAGAGAAATGCTATCAAAGTAAAGTTTGGAATCAATATGAAGAAATACTCCTTTGGACTCTAGATGCTAAAGTGGAGGTGAAACAAGCTGGTTTAAAACCATGTGAAAGCCTTGCTTGCAGAGATCCCCTGATTGGGTATTTGTCACTAAATGAGCCCATTATAACTCACACTGGACTGAAGACATACGAGTACTTGGGATTGGAAGAGAAGCTGTGCAGATGTGCATGGAAGAATCTGTGATTTCCAGTCCTTTCAGAAGCATGCAAGGACAAAGACTGTAGAGAAACCCTATGAATACGATCAGTGTGGGAAATCATACTCTGATCTCAATGAAAAGATCTCTGATTTCAGTGAAACAACCCACCTTAGAGAAACCTTTATATGTATGTAGGAAAAATTTGAAAGCCTCCAGCACACTTAATGATGTTCAGATCCATGAAAGAAATCATAATGGGGAGAAACCCTATGTATGTAAGCAATGTGGAAAAGCTTTCAGTAGGCATCAACATTGTAAACAACATAAAAGAATTCACACAGGGGAGAAGACCTATGTGTGTAAGCAATGTGGGAAAGCTTTTAGTATACAAGGTTATTATAAAATACATGAAAGAACTCACACTCAGCATTAATTTTATGTATGTAAGCAATGCGGGAAAGCTTTCAGCATTTGTGGTGTTTGCCAAGACACACACAGTGGGGAGAAACCATATGTATATAAGCAGTGTGGGAACGCTTTCAGTATACACATGTATTGTCAAATACATGAAAAATCTCATTGGGGAGAAGCTATGTATGTAAGCCCATTTTGAAAATCCTGTGAAAATATCTTATGTGGTAGAGTAGTACAATTACTTGTGTAGCAGTAATACAAAAAGCTTGAGGTACACACATTATTTGTTTTTCAGTAAATCTCTTAAATATCTGAATTATGGATATCTGTAGTGTTTAATATAAAAATATTGAGTTGACACATTTGTGTTTCTTTGAGCTTAATACACGTGTCTTAATTAAGCGTGGTGAATTAAAATGTATTTTTTTTTACTTTCAAGTAGAGTTAATATTTATGTAGTTTTTGTTTAGTCTTTACAATTTAGAGGTATAGGCCACTAAATTGTTAATTAGGATTTACCACTGTTTTTTTTTTTTCCTCATTTGAGTTTATTGGTACATTTTAGGTCTTTTAATTCTTTTGGAAAGATACACAGTAGAGGGATGGCTGGGTCAAATGGAACCTCTAATCTTAGTTCTTTGAGGTATCTCCATATTGATTTCCATGGTGGTTGCACCAGTCTGCCACTACTTTTGTTTTAAGTTTTTGGTGTGTATTCTGTATTCTGTATAACAAAAGACATTTTTGAATTTGCTATATTTTATATTAAGATGAATATTTTCAGAACTTGTGAACATGTTTTTGACAGTTGATTTGTTTTCACACAACTTGTACATAAGCATGTTGTTTTTCATATTGTGACAAGATATCTGCTTATATCCCAACATTATATATCATGTACATAACTTTTGCCTATTTTTCTTTCATATTAAAGCTAATATTATTATTTTTTAACAAGAAACTTTCTAAATATAAAACTGACTGCATTTGAATTTTTATGACCTTGAATTATAATTAATTCATAAACTTAGAAGAGTCTTTTTAAAAACTGGGATCCCATTGCCAGCTAGGTAAAGGAAGGTAATATTAACTTCTTCTGCTTGCCTAAGGTAGGCCTTCTCTGTGAAGAACAGAGATCATAAGGTGATTCAACCAATACTTAAATGTAGATGGGCCTATTGGCCCCTTTAAAATTTTGACTTTATGTGTGCATATTCTTTGAGCTACCATTTTGGGTGTTGCCATGATTGCATGAACTGGGTGATTACCACATCACACTATATTTGAATGATTTTAAATTTAGTTTCCAGGATCATAGGGTATTAGAAGGCAGTATAAGACTATCTTAGACAGGTCCTTTCCTCCAATTAACTCATTTAGGCTAGCACAAGTAGGGGAGCCAACTGCTAGGATGGTCGATTTCTGTAGAACCCAAGATCAGGAAGTGTACTTGGGCTTTTTGGACAGCTGCAACTGAGATTGTCGGAATCTTACACAACTATTTCACTTTTTTGGCCTTTACAGGTTGCTCTCTCTGCTTCTTTGTTCTTGCATTTCCCATACTTTCTAAATTTACTACCTGTCTCCAAATTTCAATTTGAGATTCCAAGAGGGAGATTGACTAAGTGTGGTGCAAGTGCTTATTTTTACCCAGTAGCTCTCACTGGGGGAATAAACTTTATGTAAATCTGATGCTGCAACAAACCCCAAGGACATAACACAATGAGTTATTGGTTGCTTACATCACAGTCCAGAAGTAGTTAAGTGAATATAGGCCTTTGCTCCATGACCCCCAGTGATTTACGGACTCCTAGTTTCTTCCTTGTTATAGCTCTGTCATCCCAGGGGTTTTCTGATCCTCTCCTGTATCCTTGTCTAGCCCACTGATAAGGAGTAAGAATATTATGGGGCGAGGTTTGGAAGAGACGTGTGTTATTTCTGCCTACCTATCATTAGTAAGAATTTAGTCCACAAAGTCCATCTGAAAGGCTGAGATTTATAATTTAGCTGTATCCCTAGGAACAGAAACAGGTTGTGAATAGAGGTAGGGTTGATTCTTTGATAGACTTAATATAACCTTATCTACCCTTGGTTTTACCCCTGAGAGTGTGGCAGGGAATGATTCTTAGAAAAGGCAGGGTCCTATTTGGGTCCTAGACTAAAATTCAAGGTCCACTTCTTCCACTTGTTAGCTTGTCAGTTTACCTCACCTCCAGAACCCAAGGCCCTTATTTATAAAGGAGAAGCATAACACTTGGCCCATTGACCTCTAACATGGCTTTGTGAAGTTCCACTGAGTAGCTGTGCACATGTTTTTGTCAGTTGTTAACTCTTATTCACATTTAAAGGAACTACTATGAGATGCTGATATTTTTGCAAAAAAGGTTAATATTTCAATATTTGCTTTGGAATGACAGGGCTGACGCCACACTACTAGTAAGTGCTAGAAATGAGATTTGAGCTCAGCCGGATTCCAGCTGTTAAAGGTCACTCTAAATATTTTATGTAAGACAGGAACAGGAAAGGATCCTAAGGTTATTAGAAGATTAGGATTGTAAAGCAGTTATCACAGTACCTAGTTTGTCATAAGCAATCCATAATTAGTAGCCAGATTTTCAAGGGGAAGTTTCTTTGTTTGGTGAGTCGTATAATACCTTCTTCCTCTTACACAGGAATGACCCTCCCAGCACAGAAATATGTATTGGATGCATTCCGAGCTAATGGAGATAATATTCTGATTGCCACCTCAGTTGCTGATGAAGGCATTGACATTGCTCAGTGCAATCTGGTTATCTTGTATGAGTATGTGGGCAATGTCATCAAAATGATCCAAACCAGAGGTGAGAAGCTTTGATGCCATTACAACATGGTCCCCATTTTGTATGGTTTGTTTGTCTGTCCTTTATCCTTACTGAGCCATGAATATGTGACCAGTGGCCCAAAAAGGTCAAGATTGGAGAGTTACAGTTTTGTCCACTAACTTACACCCTATTGTGATTCTTTTCATAGTGGTACTGCTTCCTTGCCCAGATTGACTCGTATCCAGCTTGGGTTAAGGCTTTGTTGGTCAGTGTATAGAAGTTTCAAAGTTATGGGGTTGGTGGCTTCCTCTTTTCCAGAAGAGATGCTCCTGAGTGCTTGTTTACTAAAGGATTAGAGTCTCATAACCAACCTCCCCCTCCTTTTCCTTTCTTTTTTTCATTATCTATTAGAATAGCTGCCATATTACTTTTCTTGAAAAGCAGCTCTCAGCATATAGTTTTCAATATAGAAAATCTAGCACTCACTTTGGCAGCACGTATACTGAAATTGGAACACTACAGAGAAGATTATCAGTATAGAAACTCTAGTTGTTTCCTATGTCACTTGATGTTAAAGAGTTTTCAAATTCCATTGTACCCACTTACCTTTCCAACCTGTTTCCCATTCTTTCCCTCTGTTCATTATCCAGTTAACCCAACAGATTTCATTTTTCTAGTTTAAAGAATTGCTCATTTGCTGCTACTCTTTTTTTGTGGCGGGGGGGTGTACTAGGGATCGAACTCGGGTCCTTGTGCTTGTCAAGAGGCAGGCCACCGAACCGCTGAGCCAAATCCCCAGCCCTGCTGCTACTCTTTATTTTGCTTCTCCCTGTGCCTTTATCTCACCTTACCTTAATTCCCTCCATGTTGTGAACATGTTTTCCCATTTGCCAAAAGATTCTTGAGGGAGGATCTATTTATGACTTATTGCAGATTGTTCACAGAGTCGTCATACTGAGGGTTCATGTTGGATTGCATTAAAACAGTGTTTTTGACAATATGGCTGTCTGATTACATTGCATCAAGAAAGCTAGCCTAAGGTGGGCTCCTCATTTGTCTTAATGTTTACCATGAGATGTATACCTGCCTTTGATGTACTCTTTAACAGTTTGACTTCCCTAGGAAGAAGGATTCATTGACTGTATTTGAATTTTAGGAATATCTCTTTCTTTTACCTGTTCTTCTATAGTATCAGAATTTTAAGTCAAAACCAAAAAATATTTATTTCCTACTAGGCAGAGGAAGAGCAAAAGGTAGTAAGTGTTATCTTCTGAGTAGCAATGCTGATGTAATTGAAAAAGAAAATATAAACTTACACAAAGAAAAAATGATGAATGACTCCATTTCAAGTCTTCAGACATGGGATGAAGTAACATTTCAAAAAAGAGTAAGTCTTTTCATCTGTGTTACTCTTTTAGGATCTGATCATAAAGAAAAAACAGGGAACATGAGCATGTTTGGTGTATTTTGGCATATTGTTTAGAATGTTATATTAGAACAGTAAGTTTATGTTTAAAGTTTTGTCCTATAGTGAATATTTTAAATTTATTGACTCTGTGTGTGAGTGTGTGTGTGTCTGTGGTGCTGGGGATTGAACCCAGGATTTTGTGTGTGTGTGTGTGTGTGTGTGTCTGTGTGTGTGTGTGTGTGTCTGTGTGTGTGTCTGTGGTGCTTGGGATTGAACCCAGGGCTTCACACATTAGATAAGCAATGTACTACTGAGCTATACAACTTTAGCTAAAATTAGTTTTTTAAGTGTTAATGAGATTCAAATATACTTTATTAGTGCTAATACCTGAAGTTCTGTTTTATATCTAAAGGGCAAACAGAGCTATATTTGCTATTAATTTGATAGCTCATGTTGAGGACCACACCTTGGTACTGTTAAGACATAGCTCTTCATCTCTTCTTCAAAGCTCTCTCTACTGCCAGAGAAAAGCTCCTAGGTCACAGGGCGGATTCTGGGATGTTGACTTGTAGGTATGGACCATAATGTGTATCTCAGAGTGGCATACCTGCTCCATAGTGACCTTAATTTTATTGTTATTTCTTCTGTGCCCAGAAGCATGAAATCAGATTGGATAAAGTCAAGAAACACAGCCACACATGTATACATACATGCTTTCCCACATTTTCCCCAAACCTTTTGCAGGGATTTTCATCTCAGAATCTCTGGAAGCCTCTCCAGGGCTGGAGAAGGGTTTTAACACTAGAATCAGTAATTCATTTCCCATTTTTGCCACTTACAGTGTAACTGCAGGCAGCTACTCTGTCTTTTAAATCATGTCCTTTGTAAAGTTGTGAAAATAATGTTTGTTTTTGAGACAGGATCTTGCTATGTAGTTCAGGCTGTCCTTGAGCTATGTACTCCAGGCTGGCCTCAAACTCAAGGCAATCCTTCTGCCTCAGCCTCCTAAGTGCTGGGATTACAGGTGTGTCCCACCATGCCTGGCAATAAAAATATTTTTTTAAAATTCACTGAGAAGTTGAGAGAATGATAAATATTCATTAATTAGCAAAGTACCTAGTATAAAATATGTATTGAAACATGAGAGTTGTTATTGGATAGAGGTATGAGGCATAGTCTAACTGCATTAAGATGAACCTTAAAACTCAGGAGACCAACTCCACAGTGTCTATGATTTTAAAAAGTGAAATCCCTAATTTAGAAAAAGTATTGAGAAGCAGTAATCTAAAGTTATACACTTCTGGACAAAATTAAAATTTTATGTCAGTGTTTACTCATTTTTAAAAGCATTTCTTCTTAAAGTTTTGAGATTAATATAGCTAAAACTTTGTCATTGGTTGACTTCATGATAGCAGCCATTCTTTCTAGAGTGTGAGGCGGAATCTCAGTTTTGTTTTCATTTGCATCTCTTGAATGACCAGTGATGTTGAACAGTTTGCACATGTTTATTTGCTATTTCTACTTCTTTGAGAAATGTCTGTTCATTTCAGATGCCCATTTGTGGACTGGGTCTTTAAATTTGGGAGGTCTGATTCTTTTAAGTTCTTCATACATTCTAGATAATAGACCTTTGTCTGAGGAAGAGCTGGTGAAAACTTTTTCCCACATTGTGAGTTGTCTCTTCGCATTATTTATTGTTTCTCTTGCTGTGAAGAAGCTTTTTAATAAGGAGAGACCCCACTTGTTGTTTGATTGTGCTAGTTCATGGGCAACTGAGGTTTTGTTCATAAAATCTTTTCCTACACCAATGTCTTCAAGAGTTCTACCTAACCTCTTTTACAGCTGTTTAGTGTTTCTGTTTTAATATTTAGATTTTCCACATTTTTAGTGAGAATTGCAGGGTGATCTTTAGCTTTTCTCTTAATTTTACTGATAGGGTTTTCTTTTCACTGTGGAATATCTTCATTTTGTAGAATATAGGGATGCTACCAATGAAAGGTTTGAAACCATATTGAATTTGTATAACCACAGCATAATTTTTATCTTTTCTATTGAATGACAGGATGCTTAGACACTCATGAGACAGAAGCAGTACAGGATAATCTGTTAAGGAAGATGGAGGCTGAACCAAATGGAGACATTCTTTTGTGGCGCACACACTAGGTTAAGGAGTAGGCTGAGGAGCAATATCTGTTGAATTAGGCTCTTGAGTAACATTTGGGGTTTGCCTAACATACAAAGATAGTACATGGGCAGAGATGGTAAAGAACGAGAGGCAGTCTAGAGTGAGTACACCAGGCGTCACTGATAGCTGGTAATTCTGTGGCAGCTGGGAGCCTGGAGTCTTGGTGACATTCCTGTCTTATAATAGATGACCACTATCCCAGCAGTTCTGTTTAAAAAGGAAAGCTTGCTTTCAAAGGTGAGACTCACAGTCCAGGGATTTAGCTCAGTGGTTCCGCTGCCTGCCTTGCAATCTCAGGGTCTGAGTTTGATCCCCAGTACAGAAAAAAAAAAAAAAAAAAAAAAAAAAC